CTTCATCCTCTGCATCAGCACTATATGCACCAACTTCCTCATAATCCTTCTCCAGGGCAGCCATGGCCTCAGCGAACTCTCCCTCCTCCATACCCTCACCAACATACCAGTGCACGAAGGCATGTTTAGCATACATAAGATCGAATTTGTGGTCCAGGCGGGCCCAGGCCTCAGCAATTGCAGTGGTGTTGCTCAGCTTACACACAGCACACTGTACCTTGGCCAGGTCACCGCATGCAACCACATTTGGGGGTTGGTAGTTAATGCCAACCTTGAAACCAGTGGGAAACCAGTCTACAAACTGGATGCTACGCTTTGTCTTGATGGTGGCAATAGCTGCATTAACATCTTTGGGCACAAAATCACCACGATACAACAGGCAGCAAGCCATGTATTTACCGTGATGTGGGTCACATTTTACCATCTGATTAGCTGGCTCAAATCATGCATTTGTAATATCAGACACAGTCAGCTGCTCATGGTAAGCTTTCTCTGCAGAAATAACAGGGGCATAAGTGGCCAGAGGGAAATGAATATGAGGATAGGGCACCAAGTTGGTTTGGAATTCAGTATGATCAACATTCAGGGTACCATCAAATCTGAGAGAGGCTGTAATAGAGGACACTATCTGACTGATAAGGCGATTGAGATTGGTATATGTGGGACGCTCAATATCTAGATTTCTGCAGCAAATGTCATAGATAGCCTCATAGTCCACCATGAAGGCGCAATCTGAATGCTCCATGGTGGTATGAGTGGTCAGGATGGAATTGTAGGGGTCAACCACAGCTGAGACTTGAGGTGCTGCATAAATGGCAAATTCAAGTTTGGACTTCTTCCCATAATCAACAGAGAGACATTCCATCAACAGAGATGTGAAACCTTCAACACCTTCTTCAGTGAGACTGGAGCTGGAAAACATGTTCCCATGGCTGTGTTTGTAGATCTAGAACCAACAGTCATTGATGAGGTACACACTGGCACATACCGTCAGCTTTTCCACCCAGAACAATTAATCACTGGCAAAGAAGATGCAGCAAACAACTATGCTCGTGGGCACTACACAAACTACAAAGAGATCATTGACTTAATATTGGATAGGATCCGTAAATTTGCTGACCAGTGCACAGGTTTTCAGGGTTTTCTGGTGTTTCACAGTTTTGGTGGCGGTACAGGTTCTGGTTTCACATCTCTGCTGGCTTGTCTTTTATGAGTGGATTTCGAACCCTGTCATTATTCAAGAATGGAATATACTTATTAATAGATGTGATTAAATGGAGAAGATGATCTACAATTTCATTGCGAATTTCATCTTCAAGTTCAATTTCTGATTCTTCAAGAAAATCCTTAAGCATTGGCAAAGAGTTCAAATTATTTTGCTCAACAGATCAGGTCCCAAACTGCAGCTTACGAGACAGTAAGAATATGTTATCTCTTATATATTAGTGTTTTTTCCTTGGAGTGATAAACATACATACTTTGGATAACCACAGAATGTTTGTTAATTGATCAGATAATCTAAATTTATGATCCTGGAAATATGCAAACAACTCTTGACGCAATTCAAACATTCTAACAAGGACTTTACTTCGTGATAGTCAACGGACTTCTGAATGCAAAAGCAGAGCAGAGTGGTGACTACCCATATCTTCACATATAATTTTAAATAGTCACGACTGTAATGGTTGACTTTTAAAAAAATAAAAAATCTGGACCGATTCATCTAGCACAGTTTTAAGTGAGATTGAAATATTTTTAGCTACCAGTGCATGTCTGTGAAGAACACAGTGAGAACTGGTGCTGATTTTTGCTACATTTCTTATTCGTGTCACAGCGCCTGCCACTTTCCCAACCATTGCTTTGGCACCATCACTGCACACATCTACACATTTGTCCCAATTTATACTGTGTTCATGAACTTCTGGATACAGTTAAAGATGTTCTCACCAGTGGTATGAGTTTTCAAAGTTTCACACAGCAGCAAACCTATTTGTCAAAATTATATCTAACAAAAAACAACAAAATTGAAAGTCCTGCAACTTCTGTGAACTTGTCTAATTGCAGTAAGTACCCATCACATTGATGCAGTCGAGAAATTAGTTCAGTATAGATGTCATCAGCAAGATCATAAATATGGCGCAAAACTGTATTGTTGGAAAGTGGCACAGCTTACATTTCTTTACTCAACTTCTCACTTAAAATACATGACACTATTTCTTTTGCACATGGTTTTATTAGTGATTCCCCAATTGTGTGTAATTGTGTGTAAGTCTTGGTGCAGGAAGGAGGGTTTTGGGTTTTTAGAGCACAGGGCTGACTTTGCGATTGGGTACAACCTTTATAGTGGTGATGGATTGCACCTAAACGGAAGAGGGTCTGCAGTGCTGGGGGATAGGATGGCTAGAAGGTTGGAGGAGATTTTAAACTCGTAGTAGGGGGGGAGGGTCATAGCAATCTACAAAATGGAGATAGGACAGAAAGGAGATGGGCTTTAGCACAGTATAAGGGGGGTGGAGATGGGGGGAGGGGCAAGCTCAGAACAGAGAAGCTGTGTAATGTTGAAAATTCACAAAATAAAAAAGTGACGCATAATACTAAATGTATGCTTACTAATGCAAGGAGCCTAAATAACAAAATGGGGGAACTAGAGGCATTAGCATACACTAAACAATATGATATAATAGGCATAAGTGAAACATGGTGGGATGAGACACATGACTGGGCAGCTAACTTAAATGGGTACATGTTATTTAGGAAGGATAGGAAAAACAAGAAGGGTGGTGGGGTATGTTTGTATGTCAACCATGATTTAAAGCCAAATGTTAAGCAAATGGAATGCGAGGAGGATTATGTGGAAGCTTTATGGGTAAATATCTGCTTGGGGGAAAAGAAGGGAAACCAACTATTGGTTGGGATATGTTATACACCACCTAATGTTAATATTGACGAGGAACAACAGCTGTTTGAGCAAATTGAGAAAGCTGCAAATCTGGGTAACAGTTTAATTATTGGAGATTTTAATTACCCGGATATAAATTGGGACAGAGGGACTAGTGCCTCAGCAAAGGGAATTAGGTTTTTAAACTTGTTAAATGACACCTTCATGTCACAACTTGTACAAGCACCAACTAGAATGGATGCTTGTCTGGACCTGGTTTTAACAAACAACGTCGATCTTTTGACCAACATTCCAGTAGGCGAGCACTTGGGAAATAGTGATCACAATATAGTGTCCTTTGAAATAAACTCAAAAAAAAACAAAAGCACATGGGGAATACTAAAACATATAATTTTAAAAAGGCCAATTTCAATAAGTTAAGGGAAGCTTTACAATATATTGACTGGCATAAAATCTTTAGTGAAAAGAACACTGAGGATAAATGGATCATCTTCCAACAAATATTACAAAGGTACATTTCTCAGTATGTACCGTTGGGAAATAAATAAAAAAGAAACAAATTAAAACCAATGTGGCTTAGTAGAGAAGTAAAACAAGAGATTACAACTAAGAGAAGGGCATTTAAAGCATTTAAATCGGACAAATCAGATGCATCTTATAAAAGATATAAGGATGCAAATAATGGGTGCAAAAAGGCAATTAGACTTGCTAAACTTCAAAATGAAATAATGATAGCTGAAGAGAGCAAAACCAACCCCAAAGCATTTTTTTAAGTACATAAATTCTAAAAAAAAACAAAATGAAAGTGTAGGTACACTAAAAACTGAAACGGGGGTGTTAGTTAATGAAGACCAGGAAAAGGCAGGAATTTTAAATAACTATTTCTCCTCCGTATATATTAAGGAAGAACCCATGGCAATAGATGTGCAAATGATTGCTACTAAAAACTTGCAGAATAATTGTAATTGGTTAACTCAAGACAAGGTGCTGCAGCAACTAAAGAAAGTTAATATAAACAAAGCTCCAGGGCCTGACGGTATCCATCCACGTGTACTTAAGGAACTAAGTGCAGAAATAAGTGAACCTCTGTTTTTAATCTTTCAAGATTCTTTTCTTTCAGGAAGTGTTCCAGAGGATTGGAGGAAGGCAGATGTGGTTCCTATATTCAAAAAGGGTTCAAAATCCTTGCCTGGAAATTATAGACCTGTGAGCTTAACTTCTGTGGCTGGGAAAATATTTGAAAGGTTATTAAGGGATAATATTCAAGAATTCCTTGAGAAGAACATGGTTATCAGCAAAAATCAGCATGGTTTTATGAAGCACAGGTCATGTCAAACTAACTTGATTGCGTTCTACGAAGAAGTAAGTAGAAGTATAGATCAGGGTGTTGCCGTGGATGTGATCTATTTGGATTTTGCCAAGGCATTTGATACAGTTCCACACAATAGATTAGTGTTCAAACTCAAGGAAATCGGTCTAGACGAAAATGCTTGTTCTTAGGTAGAACATTGGCTTAAAAACAGAGTACAAAGAGTTGTCATTAATGGTAAATTTTCAAGCTGGACAGAGGTGGCAAGTGGTGTCCCTCAGGGGTCTGTTCTGGGACCCCTTCTATTTAACATGTTTATAAATGATCTTGAAGACCGCATTGAAAGTCATGTTTCAGTGTTTGCAGATGACACCAAACTTTGTAAAACAATACAATGTGAGCAAGATATTACTTTGCTGCAGAGGGATTTAGATAGACTGGGGGACTGGGCACTCAAATGGCAGATGAAATTTAATGTTGAAAAATGCAAAGTTATGCACTTCGGCGTAAAGAATACACAAGCAACGTATACCCTTAATGGAAGCGAATTAGGGATAACAACACACGAAAAGGACTTGGGAATTGTTATAGACAACAAACTATGCAACAATGTACAATGTCAATCAGCAGTGGCCAAGGCCAGTAAGGTATTGTCATGCATGAAAAAGGGCATTCATTCTCGGGACGAGAATATCATTTTGCCTCTTTATAAATCACTGGTAAGACCACATATTGAATATGCTGTGCAATTTTGGGCACCTGTTCTAAAGAAGGATATTATGGCACTAGAAAAAGTGCAGAGGCGGGCTACAAAATTAATAAAAGGAATGGAACATATCGGCTATGAAGAAAGGTTAACAAATTTAAAGGACCACTCTATGCACCCAGACCACTTCAGCTTAATGAAGTGGTCTGGGTGCCAGGTCCAGCTAGGGTTAACCCATTTTTTTCATAAACAAAGCAGTTTCAGAGAAACTGCTATGTTTATGAATGGGTTAAGCCTTCCCCTATTTCTTCTAGCGGCTGTCTCATTGACAGCCGCTAGAGGCGCTTGCGTGCTTCTCACTGTGATTTTCACAGTGAGAGCACGCCAGCGTCCATAGGAAAGCATTATGAATGCTTTCCTATGGCAGCTGAATCTTGGCCAGCGCAGCAGCGACGAGGGAGGAGAGATGAGCAGAAGCTCCCGCCCAGCTGGAAAAGGTAAGTTTTAACCCACTTCCCTTTTTCAGAGCCGGGCGGGAAAATCCCTGAGGTGAGAGCACCCTCAGGAGCACTATAGTAGGAAAACGAAGTATGTTTCCTGGCAATATTATAGTCCTTTAAACCTATTTAGTTTAGAAAAAGCATTAAGCACGAGAGGATATGATAACATTATACAAATATATTAGGGGCCAATACAACCATTGTGTGGAAATCTATTCACAAATCGGACTTTACATAGGACACGAGGCCACGCGTTTAGACTGGAAGAAAGAAGATTTCGTCTAAGGCAAAGGAAAGGTTTTTTTACTGTAAGAACAATCAGGATGTGGAATTCTCTGCCTGAAGAAGTGGTTTTATCAGAGTCCATACAGATGTTCAAACGGCTACTAGATGCATACTTGGAAGAACAGAATATTCAAGGATATAATCTTTCAATGTAGGGTAATAACTGCATGATCCAAGGATAAATCTGATTGCCATTCTGGGGTCAAGAAGGAATTTTTTTCCT